CTTTGCCACCTTCAACTTTCTGAGATTCTGCTTTTTTTTTCTTTATTTTTTCAGTATTTGCACTTCTACTCTGCAGTGCAGTTGCTGTTTTGTTTTGGTTTTGCCTAGGAATGCCAGATGGTCCCAACAGTCAACAGAGACCAGCTGACAAAGGCATGGACCAGGTAGATGCTAGTGTTTTGGAGGGAGGCTGTTAAGGTGGACACTAACCTTGCGAGTAGTCAGCTCCATAGTGGCTGTTTTTATGTTATGGTGACTTTTATTTTTCTCGGGGACTCAGAGACATTGCTACGGAGGACACACTGCATTTGTTTGTGGGTCTGTCTGCCCTGCTAGATCAGGAGCTCCTTGGGCACAGTCAGGGATTTGGGCTCCCCAGACACTGTCTGTACTTAACGTTAAATAAATGAGTGAATGGTCCAGGTCAGACTCACTTATTTTGTGTCTTTTGACTGAAATTCCTCCAAAAGTCTTTCAAGATCCCTGTACACCTCTCCAGATCACAGCTTTGCTCTCAGTCCTGCCTCAGTCCTTAGGCCTTTCTGAAAAGAACGCTGCCCGTTTGGAAAGAGCCAGGGGCCCTTTACCCATGGTTTTGGGGTGTTCCTATTACCATCCTGTCAACTTTTCTGGGTGGTAATCTTCTCTTCATGCTGATGTCCAAGGATGAAAGAGGATTAAGGGAAAGGGAAGAGCAAACCCCTCAACCCTCTAGATTTCCCACCTTGATTCAGGAAATAGTTATTAAAGTGCCTACACTATGCTTCTTCCATGAGGACAGTAGGCCAGTGGCTCACAAAGAAAATACCCTCTGGGCAGAGAGTAGGCAGTTTGTCACCATGTGGGGCTCCGGTGACTGGTCCCTGCCCTTCAGCTCATCTCTCCCTTCCCTGCAGAGCTGTGCTTCCCTCCCTGCCTCTGTTTCTAGTACCTTCCACCTCTTCCCTATCCCATCCCATCGTGCTGCATGAATACCATCCAGTTTTCAGGATTCAGCTGAAGCAATTCCTTCCCAATGTAGCATTGCTGATAGACACCCCTCCCCTTCTGCAGAGAGACACCCTCCCAACCCTGTGTCTTTATGTATGGATTCATATCCTAGCCACCTGGCACGACGCTGACTTTACGTGTCTCCTCCCACTACCTGGAAAGGGGTGGGGGACAGAACCACAACATCGCTTTCCTCTTTGTTTCCCTGGCCCAGTGCTAGGAACACAAGGAGGCACTGACATGTCTGTTGCAGGAATAAATTAGTAGTAATTATTTGTGCACTGTTTTTCTCCCCTTCGTGCATAGCCTGAAAATTCCAGGAACTGTTTGTCTCTCACCTCTACCACCAGCCGTTAGTTTGCCCCAAGGAGATGTCCAGTTGGAATGAAAATGAATGACTGGCTTTCCCTTGGGATGCTATTGCATCCTTAGGCCTAAGATCAGGACTGTCCATCTCTTGTCCTGGCATTGAAGAGCCTAAGTCTTAAGACTGACAGCTCTGCTTTGTGGAACCCCAGAGCTGTGGGAAATCTGCTGGAACATAATCTGCAGAAGACATATTGTTGAGCTTAAGGAGACCTCCTGTAATTACCAACACAGGGAATTGTTGAGTCATCTTTGAACACTACCTCCCTAAAGACACCCCGTGTGGCACTTACCTTTGTGAATTTCCAAGCCCACATTTGCTTCCCACCCTTGGTCTCATTTGCCTAAAATTGAATATCTGTTCAGTAACCCAGAAGGCGTGAGGCTCCAGACAGAAATATGTAATGATAGTTTTTACTTTTTGCATCATTTTGTTGGTTAAATTTTGCCTCCAGTACATCTTTGAAGTTTAAAAAGTATTACCCAATTTCTGGTTTTCTCTCCACTCTTGAGCGTATAACAAGGCAGAAGTTGAATTGATGTTAACACCCTTGTTTGGGCTCCATGGAGCCTGTGTCTGCTCTGAAGCTGTTTGTCCACCTTGACTTTGTCAGCAATGGTGTGGTGGGTAGTGGGCTTCCACCAGGTAGGGTACTCTCTTGTTTGGGGACAGTTTTTGCTTTAAAGGAGCTTAGCTGGAGCTAAGGTCTGAGTCTTCACAGGCAAAGGCCACTTCTCTAGTTCAAAATGCAGATGTAACATTCAGCACATAACAGCATAGAGGTCTTATATCAGGAAGAGGCTTACCACTGATCACTAAAAAAATGCAAGAGAGTAGTGGTTGACAGCTTTCTGTGCAAGTTGGAAAACATGGGAAGGCTGGATACCCCATTGACATCAGTTATTCAGTAAATGTTTACTGGGTGCCTACTGTTTACAAGACGCAAGGCTAGGAACTTGGATTATAAAGATGAATAAGACAAGAGCCCTCGGGAGAATTCTTGGGAGAGGGGAGGCAGACACGTAAACAGATAATTACAAAACCCGAAACATGCCATCATGGGAGAATGGTACCTTGAATAGAGTCTGAGAAAGCTTCAGCAAGATAAGTGCTTTCGAAGGAGAGAATGAGGGAGAACTCTCTAGGTGGAGGTCAGTAACGGCACATGCAAACAGGAGGAAGCACAAGGGGCCTCATTTGCATGCAGAAGGCTACAGGCATGATTGTCTGAGGGGAAGTGCCACCTGATAAAGGCTGGTGTGGGTCCCCTGAGAACCTCGGTGAGAGCAGTGCCCACCAAAGTCACATTTGTGCCTCTTCTCCGGTGTCCCGTGGTGGACGCCTGGCACTCGTCATCGAGCCTTACTGTGAGGTCTGACCTGCCTCTTCTGCCTCTTCAGCCTGCTCTCCAGATAATCTGTCTTCTCACGTCATCTGGAGATGACCTGGTGCTCACAACATTGCAATGACTCCATTTTCAGAAGATTTGCAACAGAAAATAATTAGAGAAATAGGCACTGTGGGATACTTTGGGAGCATTTATTTTTTTTCAACGAAGGTGATATACATGGCTCTCAAACCAAGCAATTAAAGAAAAAGCAGCTGCTCTAGCTTCCCCAGGGACTAGACCTTTAAAATTTTTGTGACAGAGAAAATTACTTGGGGAAAAATAGACATAAATGTCCAAGGAAGCTCTTCAAATTTGAAAAACTGGGAAAATTTAAAGGCATTAAATTATCATGAAAACTTGACTACATTAATTTTGAGTAGGCCAAACATAGAGCTAACTCAGCAAGCCCCCACCAACTCTCTTGGGTGCCGAATGAAAAATTCTGTGTGTTCTTTTTTTTTTTTTTTTTTTTTTTTCCTTTCGTTATGCGGGCCTCTCACTGCCGTGGCCTCTCCCATCTGCGGAGCACAGGCTCCGGACGCGCAGGCCCAGCGGCCATGGCTCACGGGCCCAGCCGCTCCGCGGCACGCGGGATCCTCCCGAAACGGGGCACGAACCCGCGTCCCCCGCATCGGCAGGCGGACTCTCAAGCACTGCGCCACCAGGGAAGCCCTCTGTGTGTTCTTTTTAAAGGCACACAGGGCACCTTTCTTGTGTCCAGGGACCGTGGGGCTTGGGTACTGTGTCTGATGTTACCCTAATGCTCATCCTCTTAACTGCGGAGCAGCTGATTTCTGCATGTGAGTGTTGCAGAGGCTCGTTGGTCCTCACCTCCCTGCTCAGGATCAGGTGTATTGGCTCATGGGAAACAAATCCAGGCTTCACAGCAACAGACTGGGATGGTACCACATCTATGTGCATAATACTGCATTTCACCATATCATGCTTCAGTTCATTTGGTGTTTCCTGTCATTAAGACTCTTTGGAAAGGATTTATTGTTTTTATGATTTCACACAGTGCTTGCTGGGGCCCCCCTTGTATGTGAACGTGCCCCCTCCCTTCCTGAGCACCATTGCTCTGTGGGACATTCTCCCTTCCCACGCAGAGGTGTATTACTGATGTCTCTGTGCCTCCGCTTCCCCATGAGGTTCAGTCTCCAGAGGTCAGAAGCAGGTTCTAGCTATTGCTCATGTGATTTTGCTTTCTTTACCCAGAACATACCTCTCCTCACTCAGAGCCCCACGCTTCCTCAGAGAATAGGTCCTTGACTGGGTTCGGTTTTAGGCCTTCTATCAAACATCACCAACAGACTGTGAAGCTGCATGTTCTTCCTCTCAGAGGACCATGGCTACAGAATTCGTAAGCATCCCTGTGGCTCACCTGAAGGTTCTCTTCATCCCCTCAGATTTCAGGAGCGTGCAGAAATGTTTGGGAATCAGCTGGGGAGGGATTTCAGCGCCTGCACTATTCCCATCCCTGTGCTTGTTTTCTTTCTTTGGTCATTCAATCAGCAGGGCTTAAAGGGCGCTGGCCTGGAGCTTCAAATCCATTCAAGCAGGACCTGCACAGGGAGCCTGAGCCCATCACCAGGTTGGGGACTATGCTTTCCAAACCTTTTCTATGCCTTATTTTTAAACATACCATTTAACAAAGAATTTTTAAACTCTTCTAAGAGTATCAAGGTAATGTTTTTTTGGATGCCGAAATACCTCTGTGTTTTCAGTGGCCTCTGGATTATATCAGACAAAATATTTCACAGGTGGTGTGGTTTCCAGTCATCAAAATCAGTCCCAGCTGCCTCTTTAAAAATTCACGTTTTAATTTTTCCTTTTCCTTTCAGGTAATCTTCGGCAGGTGATTTTATAAGACATTTACCACCCAAAGTCTTTTGTTTCCCTCAGTAAGAAAAATGTTTTAAAAACGGAAACATTTGAGTATCACTATTAGCTTTATTCATCTAGGGCTTTAAGTTTGATATTCAACTTTCGCGATGTTTGAACACTTGGCCTAAGGTGGGGGGCCGGGTGAGGCTGAACTGTAAGGGCTCCTTTGAAAACAGGGCAGGAATCTAACGAAAGCTCGACAAATCCAAGCCTTCTATGTACATTTGGCAGTTCCTTTCCAAGGAAGTTTTCTCACTGCTGAAATGTTCTTCAGATATGTGCACCTCTGTGTCCCCCAGGGCTGGGCGGTTCACCCAGTCCCTCACTATGTGATGCTCACTGTGATTTCCTCTGCTGTCTGTGTTCCAGTCCCCGTCTCCTGGCAGTTCCTCACCCCTGGGTGCAGAGTCTTCGAGCACACCCCTTCATCCCAGTGACCCCACGGAAGCCTCCACAAATAAAGAGGTAGGGTACGATTTTGTCTCAAAAGCCATCAGCCCGTTATGTATTATTCTGTTTCTGGTTTATGCTTTCTCCAGCCTCCAACAGAGCTGCTGACCCAGATTACCCTGCGGAGAAAAATTCTGATCTCTCCAGCGTGGAATTCGGTGATAAAGCCATGCCATCCAATTTGACAGCTGCTAGCCACAGATGTCTATTTTAATTCATAAATAAAATGAAAAAGTCACCTCCTCAGGCACACTAGCCACATTTCAAGTGCTCGGCAGCCACACGTGACTAGTGGCTGTTGTACTGGAAGCAGAGATTACTGAACATTGCCATGATGGCAGAAGGTTCTCTTGGACATGGGACATCAAAAGCTCTGTTTAGCAACATCCTTCCTAGAGGTGTTATGAGCCTCAGTGCCATGGCATTACAGTTGCTCTGTGGTTTGGGAAATGGGCTGGTTTCTTAAATACTAATTTATTTCAGGCCCAAGTGAAATATCTTTCATGACAACAGGATGACTGCTTGTCCTGGCTCACCTGGGGTGGTTCCGGTTCACACCTGTTGTCCAAGCAGTACACCTGGTGAGCACCCCTTCTCTTTTGAAAGCAGCAGCGCTGTCCAGGAGAACTTTCTGTGATGCAGGGAATGTTTTACTTCTGGACTGTCCCATATGGTAGACACTACCACGTGTGCCTAGCAAGCCCTTGAGGTGTGGCTAGTGGCACTGAGGAAATGAATTTTGCATTTTATTCCATTTAAATTAACTTAAATAGCTGTGTGTGGCTAGGGGCTGCTGGACAGTGCAGCCTTAAAGTGTCTCTTTGGACAGCAAATCGTATGGTCACCCTACTGATGGAGGCCATGCTGAGCACTGGCAGAGAATATTGAAGAGAGAAGATGCTACTTTGCTCCCACTAAGGGTTCTGGGGCTAGAAATAAGCAGGTGTTTTTCCCCTGAGAGGGAGCCATTGCCCTCTCCAGCACCTGTTGTCCTTTGACACCTGACTAACTGCTACCCTCACCTACTTATGAACTAGCAACAGGTAAACATTGGCCTGCACCATCATCTGTGTGTGGGCTCAGCTCATTCTAAATATAGATGCTGCCTAATCAACACTGAGCACATGCGTTAAAGAGCTAAACCACATAATGAATGATTGTCTCATTTTTCCTTCCTTTTGCTAATAATTTTCCATTAAATTCAATGGAAGAAAGCGATCTCCATGTTAACCTGAGTGGCAGATCGCTTCTAAAAGGAGTCTTAGTTAAAATTTACCCTTAAAATATCATTGAATTCACATACGTTTGCCATTAGTATTTTTTTCATTAATCTATTCATATTAAACCAAACAAACATGAGGAGACCTTCTCTGAAACGGCACCAACATTAGAATTCAGATTTGAAATATGCTTTGTCCTTCCCTGGTCTTCATCAGGCCAGAGGAACAGGAGTAATGGGCTTACAGTTTCTGCTGGCTCTGCATCCTACAACGTCACCTTGTACTTTATTCATAGCACACGAATATGTAAGAACAAATGGCAAGAAGAAAAGCCACAGTGATAATAACAGTAATGAGAGTTACCATTTCTTGAGCATTTATGGTGTTCAGGCACCAGGCCAAGCAAGTCACATAGTATCTCATTTAGTCCTTAAAATACTTCTGCGAGGTAGGAATTAATGTCCTCATTTGTTAGTGGAGGAAGCTGAGAGGTTAAGTAACTTACCTGAGGTCCCAGACCTCACATGTGGTAGGGCCAGGTTTTGAATCCAGATCTCCGGAGAGCCCAGGCTCTTAACACCAGAATCTTCTATCCCTGCGATGAAGAGTACTTGCAGGTCACACACTGAATGGACAGGGTAGCTTGTATGTTATTATTGCAGTTTTCAAGCCTCTGGGCTCTACACATGGTTTATGTGACCTCCTGGAACATCCCAGAGATTTGGCCTTTAAGTTCTTGAATGTGGCTTTATTGATTCTTGAATGTTAAGGATCAACTAATGTTCATCTCTGTCCACATGTGGGAAAACACAGGGCTAATCAGACATCTGAATATTCAGCGTTTGATTATTCATCAGATATAATCAAGTTTCTCATTTGGCACACGTTTCTGCATATCTTTAGAAATAATGATGAAAATCCTCTTTGTGTGCAATAATTAGAGACTCTTTCGTTTCACAAAACTCTTTAAAAAAAATTTTACTACCCCAGAGATTAAAGAAAGCCAGTCATGAGTTCATGAATAGAGAATAAGTGAATGTACCAAATGCCCTCCGTTGTGGCTCTAAATAAAACAGCAGCTTTTAGAGCCATAGACTAAAGCAATCCTTTTGTAGCATCTGCTAAAATCTAAATCTAATAGCCCAAGAAAATATAAATATAAATTGGCTTCTTGGTTGTACCTGGAGGCTAAACCATTTTGATTAGATGAAGTAAAGCCCTCATTGCCCCTAGATGCTGAGGGCAAGGACAGGGAAGTGGTTGGGGAATAATAATCTAAAAGTCTTTGGCTCTTATGAAGAAGCTAGCTTTCATCTGCATACCATGAAGTTACGGATTTTTTTTCCTTAAAGCAACAGAGTTTAAGCCAGCAGGCACTCAGCTGGGCCTGTCTTCTCACTTGAGTAAATGGAAAGTAAAATTAATGTGAAGCACCATTGAAACTGGAGTCCTCTTTTCTCTTATCCACATAATCTTGGCTTTCACTAGGTGTGCCTCTTTGCATAAACGCATTAGCAGCCAGTAACTTTTCGTTCCTGGTGATCTTGTGTCCTTAGTTTCTCTAAAGGTGATCCTTTCTGAAACCAGAAACCCACCCTCTTTGGTGTGAGGAACCATTTCATCCCAGTGAGCACATCTGCAGCAAGTTTATTGAGATTGATCTGCATTGTGTATTGTGTGATTAGTGTTGAATTCTTGTCATTGTCCTGGGTTGAGTTTAGAGTCTCAAAATGGTTTCTTCGACTGCCTCCAATTTTTCACGTAACAATTAACACTAATATTTTTTAGAATGTTGTGCAGATATTAACGAATTAATCATTCCTTAGCCATTCCCATCTTCCAAGTGAAGAGCACTGTATAAAGTGCTGTGATATGGAGTTGTTTCCCATGATATACCAGCCATCATCTAGGGACCTTCAGTCTTCGAGTCCACTAGGCACCTCAGAGTATACCATCAATTCAAGTCAACCTACTGAGCAGCTATGTTGTACTAGGTAGTCTTGTTCTGAAATGATCACCTAACACCTGGTAGATTCTTGGCTATGAAAATCTTTAGGTTTTTTGAAGATAACCCTTGGCCATGCAAACCCTGATTTTTCCCATTTTAGGGACTCTTGTCTTTTACGTTAGCTCTCCACTCTCCTGTAATGCTGTCATCACCCTGTCCTAGACATACCAGCTGCAAATTCTGTCACTGGTTAGAGCAGGAGTGAATTACCTATTCTTATTCCACTGAGAGTTAACTCTAGGACATTTGCTTGTGAAAGGAACCGAGTGGTAAGTACTGCTCCTCTGAGAGCTAGCATTTAAACTGCCATCCAATCAGGTTCTAGAAGGTTTCTAGCTGATTATATCCACTTCCAAGGATGCTTTGGGAGACTGACCTTTGCTATGAGGTTTTACTTAGTATAAGAAATTCCAGGGTTTTTAAATTACCTCTTTGTTTATTGGGTTCTTATTTTAAGGTAACACAATAATAACTTATGTAATGGATTTTTTAAACTAAAATACATCAGTAAGGGATGAAAGGAAGAGATAAAAGCTGTAGCAATCATTTTTAGCACAGTTAGAGATCAGTGCAGCAAAGACATAAAGTGGAATAAAATTCTCAAAGGGAGTTCTTAATTTTAGCATATAATCATTTCATTGGTGCCTTTACTAATCAGCAGTTTCTCACTTAGACACCCAAATTCTTAAGAGTACAAATTGAGTCCTTTTTATTGCTATTACTGATTATGAATTTTGGTCCATGGGTTATTTTTTAAGATGACAGACATCTCTCTGATTGTAGAATGTAGGATTTTTAGATTATCTAAAATATGAATGGGTGGTTCTGGGCTTTGGGTAACCTTTAATAATAAATGCATATGTTTATTCACAATTCACTTTTTGTAGCCAAGAATGGTTGACAACTGGATAATATCTGTCATTGGTGATGTATTTATTTTTCATGTTGCACAGATGGCTGTGTTAATGCATTTTTCATCATGCTTTGCCCTTTTTGAAACCTCTTTGTCTTAATTACAGTCAAGAAAAAGCTTGGCTTCGTTCCCAACCTACGTCGAAGGTAAGAGCTGAGAAGGAAATATTGAACACCGAGTCATTCATGAATCTTCTAGCATTTTGGGTATTGGAAGCCCTGGGCTGTAAGACGATTGTGGGGAAAAGAGACCACAAAGTCACCTATTCTCAGTCTTAAGTCTTAGAATCTTAGACTAAAACAGCAGTAGCCGTGAATCTCTCAAAGACCCTCCTCCCTGCCTTTGCTGATTCTGTCCAGGAGACTCTGAGGCTGGGGTGAGGCTGGGGGCTTTGCCCAGCCTAGAACTGGCCATATTGGATCCAAGACCCAAGTCTCCTTATCTCTAGTCCAATATACCTCTTGCATCCATCAAGGCCCATTCAAATGGGAATGATGTTTAACTAAGGGAGAAATTTTGCTCTTCATTTAAAAAATAAATAAATAAAAAGACCTTCCCAGTAATTCCCATCTCTTGCTTGGATGAGCTAGTGATAGTAACATTTATCAAGCTCTTTCTTACTGTCTGCCAGGTACTGTTCTAAGCACTTTCTATGTAATAACTAATTGAATCCTCACGTTGATCTTGTGAAGTGGGTTTATCATTATCCCCATGTTATGCACGAGAGAACTGAGGCATGCGGGGTGTGAGCAACCTTCCCAAGATCTCACAGTCAGAGTAGCAGAGACAGGCTGGGAACCAGAAGTCTGACTCCACCGTTCTCCCTGTAATCAATATCCGATGCAGTGCCTTTGCTTTCTGCCACACAAATGTTGATATTATGCAGGTCCTATGGATTCTGGCAATCTGCTTGTAGTTTGGTGTTCCTGGCAATATCTCGTCACCTAGTTTTGTTGTAAATATATTCCAATGGTTTTTGGTTTACCTATCTAGTTTCTTTGTTTTAGGTGGTGATTAAGAGAGAATAAAAAACTGTGCTACCACTACCATCTTCTTAGAATCCTCCAAAGTAATTTTTTAATGCTAAACAAATTATGTAAATTTTTGTCTAACACCCTCCTCTGACTTCTCCATTCATTTATAATAAAATTACAATTTATTAACCTAAAAAAAAATATCTGATGCAGGACTGCCACACATGGTTGTGCAGGTTGTTCACTGCACAAATGTATCCTGTCAACAGGCCTGGTGGGGCCACAACTCAATCCAGGCTAGACATCCCAGCTTGAGGTCAGGCCACACAACTGGAGCGTGCTACTGATCCTCTACCAGGGAGGACAGCAGATGATTTGGGGGGCAGGGTAGATTGTCATTCCCTTGAAGGAGTATTTTCTGGGGGCCAGAGGATGCCCAGACATCGTGTCTGGCCTTTGGATCCTGTGCATGAACAGTTGGTGTGTGCCACTGCCCAAGAATGAATTACCTGGATTCATAAACCGACCTGAACCCTTGGGCCTGAAGCCCAGGACAAGCTCATAGGTTTGGTTGTTACTCCGGTTTCTTTCTTGAGTAACTTGGAAATTATTTCCACCATCTTTGCAAAGCTCCAAAAGTCCTCAGGAGTACCTCGGGGAGTTTTCAGAAGTTGACTATTTCAGAATAGTCAAAACTGTTCTTCATATCCATTCCTCTAGGACTAGAGATTTTCAAGCTCGGCATTAACATGAGTGTGAAGATATAACGTGTGTGCTCATTCACCCACAGAGCAGCATAAAGGCATCACTGAAAAGGAAAACCTGCAATTCTTTGACTTAGGACCATTATAACTTTTTTTTTTTTAACTTTTAAAAAAGCCACTAGCACTGAGCCTAAAATGAACTTATGAAATTCTGGCTGTTTTTTGTGAGTGTGATACCGTGACATTTGATTTTAGTCAGTTTCCCCAGAGGATAATTGACATAAGATCATATCTCAAATATATATTTGTTTAGGTCCAATATTTCTGTCTCTTGGCTGCCTGACGTTTATACAGTCACTTAAATATTATCTGGATTGCTTTTAAACATATCTGCATATCCATACTCATTATGGTTAATGAAGGACCCTTTTCAGTAAATAGAGCTAAATCCACTGATGAATATATGATATTGGAAGTCCCATAGAGAAGATGTTGCATTTTTGTTTTTCTTTTATAATTCATTATTTTCACAAAATAAATGGAAGCTTTTTAAAAGTTGCTATTCCAAGTGAGACCTTTTTTTCCCCAATACCAGGTTGTCAAAAATGATTATGTAACATTATAAATCTATCACTGGAATTTGAGAGAAGACTGATAATCTCTTACTTTTTACAAGGCATAGTGTGGATGCAAACTTGTCCATGTATTATTTTAGTTTGACAGTGCTTCCCTGCTATATACCTAAAGTTGCACATTGTAAATAACCTGCATCCTTCTCACATCTATAAAAGCTTCAGGGTAGGAAGGGTGTAGCTGTTGAGAAGCAAGTAAGTGACTGGTATGTGGTGGAGGCAGCTTTGGCTGTGTACCACTCAGTGTTTATCCAGAGTCTCAGAAAGATTGAGAATCAGAAAACTAACAGGTTTCCTGACTTAATTACTACACACATGCTTTGTGAAGGCCTTTCCTAAAACATTGCTAAATTTCTTTTTTTCCACCACCAACTTGGTTTTAGGAAAATGAATAGATTACTTTAAGGCTGTACCCTGATAAGTAGCTTATCATGGGAAGCAGCTGTTTAAGCTCAAGATGAGCTGGATGTGTAAGGATAAAGATAACCATTTCAGATTAGCTCTCCAAGAGGAAAAAGCAAATTGTTTCCATTTCAAGTTATCTAATTTACGACGCTGAGGTTTTAACAGTGGGTTAAAAAGTATATTTTAGTCTTTCCAAATATGGCATTCAAGCCAAAGAAAATACATATATTTTCATTGCAGAATTAAAACGCCTTTCTTAGCACATCTGTTGTAAAGTTATATATTATTCCAAAACATGTTTTAATTTCCAGTAGGGTTTACAGGTGATTGTGGTTAGAATCAGATGCCCCCATTTTAAATATTTAAAACTAAGGTTTGATTTAAAAGGCTGGTGAATGAGAACAGAAAATTCCAATTTTCCTTGGAATTGATATGTATGTAGACGCAGGCCAGGAATATTGTAGCCTGTAAGTTCCAAGGTTAGCAGCATGAGACCATGGCTTTAGGGTAATGTTACCTGTCTTGCAGATTTCAGGTTAGAGGCTATTTTGGGAATCCAAACATTTGGCAACAAATACTCATTTTTCTGATTTATAAAATTTGTTTCCCCCATTATGGATAAAATGGAAGGGGGCGATATGCATGGGTGGCGAGTAAAGGAACTGCTGTAAAATGAGTTTTTCTAATAAGACGGCCTTCTGCTCACCTAACCATTTGTCCAGCAAACATTTATTTGATACCCACTGAGTGACAGACACTGCCTAGACACAGGACAGCCAGAGATGACTGTGAGGAGCTCTTTGTCCCAAAGAGCTCACAGTCTAACAGGCAAAACAACATCCTTTATCGCTGAATTTTATGTTTCATGTTTAAATAAATATTCACATTGTTTCTCACAATAAATGGACCAGGTGAAATAAGCTTCTCTAAGAAGAAATTGTTCCTTCTATTTGCAAATGAGGGCTGAGTGAAGGTAGACCAGAGAGATGCTCCAGACTCGCAGGTTGATGCACCTGCTCACGGGTCTCTGGAACTGGCCCACCTGTGCTGGAGGTGAGCGGTGGGGGAGAGGTGGTGTGATTGGGGGGTAGAGCGTGGCTTCACTCACCACTGTGGCTTTGTGTGTTACAGTTCCTGGACCTTGTGACCCTGAGGACTTGATCGATGGAATCATTTTTGCTGCCAACTACCTGGGCTCCACCCAGCTTCTCTCAGACAAAACCCCCTCCAAAAACGTGCGCATGATGCAGGCCCAGGAAGCAGTAAGCAGGATCAAGGTGAGGGGGCGCCGTGTGCTCCGAGCGGGGCGGCGGGCAGATGTGGGCGCCTGAGCCGGCTGTAGTGCTCACCCCACACCTCCTGTCCGGAGCTTAGAGGAGAGGAGATAGAGGTGACATGGCAGGCAGTGCTTATACACGTGCCTGCCAACAGTTCTAAACGGAAAAATGATTTCCAAAGTACGCTGGAGTCCTGATGTATAAATGCTACATAATTTGGTTGTTCTTAATGGCCGGTCATGAGGAAAAAGTAATAAGCTTTGAAAAGTTGAAAAGGTGAGGGAGGATAACATTGTAAGTATTATATTTCCAATATAATATGTGAGCTAGAGACCAGTATTTCCTTGTACAGCTAGAGACCAGTGACTAAAACGTCCGTGATACAGTGTGGTTCCAACTAGCTGTCATTGCATTCGAACCGGTTGATCCTGTTCAAGCTAGATTGAACTGGCTTGCTTCACCTAAAACGAGCCATTTGATCAGATCTACCCTGGCTAGTCTGAACCAAGTCAGTGCAAGGGTAACTCAGTGCAAACCAGTCATAACCTGTTTGAATCTGTCTAATCAAGATTTAAAAGGAGCGAGCCTATTTGATCCCTGAAGTAGTTTAGATCATTCACAACTAGTTTGAACCAGCCAGAGCTGGTTTGATCCCATGGAAATGCAAAGCTCTAAAATCTCCACCACAATGCTAGTGCCACCTAGAACCATGGACAAGACAAGGGCGACAGGGACTCTCATGGTGCCATCATGTAATTCAAGTGCCATTAAGTGCCACCAGCACCTAGAACCCCTGAGGCTGTTTCCATGTAGAGCCACAGGCATCGCATCACCATTGAAATCAGAGCCGGGTGTTTCGAGTGAGTTGGAATAGGTTATGACTTCCCAGATTTGGTTCTGTCTGGTGTCCACTGGTCAGAATCAACTCCCTCCTCAAGGGACCAGTCCCTTTTTCATGTCTTCTCTCTCACACATCCCCAAGTTCCTGGGCTTTGTGTGGCATGTGGAATGAGAAGCGCGAGTAGAAGGCCATACGTGAGACTCCTTTACTGTCTCCATCAAGGGAAGAATATTTCTTGAGCACTTATGTGTGCAAGGCTGTGCAAGGTCTCCTGAGGGAGGGAAAATAGTGATTTATAAAGTGAGATCCTTACCCTCAAGCTCAGCAGCACAAATGAGAAGTGAATCAAGCCAGCGCATGTGCAGGGGGTGCCAGAGGAGGAGAGAGGGGTGTCAGGTACTAAGGGCCACAGGAGTGTGGAGAGACCTTGAGAGATGAGATGCTGCCTGAAAGCCCAAGGGAGGGGAGAGCAGCAACCACGGAGGTCACAGAGGTCACACAGCAGGGGCCGTGCTTCTGGTCCTCCGGTCGGGGCTGATTCCCATCTTATTCACATGCCCAGGCTGTGCCATGCCCTGAATATTAAACAAGGTCAGCGCTGGCCCTTCCCTTCACTACCCATCACAGCACAGTATGCCCACACTGCAACTTTTGATAATATTATCGACATTTTAGGAATTAGGATGTATAAGCCAGAGAGTAATTTACAGCTACATCTTACCCCCAGAGATGCATCTTATCCTGCGACTCCCAACAAGACAACTCCCTGACAATGTATCAAGCTGACCTTCCTGCCCTCCGCATCTTTCAGATTCAATAATGCTGCTGGTAGAACATCAGATTCCTGTTGAGCTGCCCATCCAAGCTTGGCCTGATTCTTTTTCACTGTCTCCGTTATCATAAAGAGGTGACATTAATACCCACAGATGTCCCCACAGCCTTCTCCATCTTAATTTAGTATCTCCCAGGCACAACATTCAGAACAAGAACGCACAAACCTCTCTGAGAGAACAAGCTGCTTTTCAGGCACTGTCCTGCCTTATTTCATACAGAGCAGAGAACTTTAAAAACCTAGTCTTTAGGGACGTACTTCTGACCCCTCCTGTCCCACAGTTTGCAAACATGTTATGATTTTGTTACGTTAATATTTGCTAAGTAAACCCCCAGAGTGCCAGATGGTGAGCAAAACACCACAAGAGAAATTGAGATAGAGAAGTTTATGACTCACAGGTCCTGGAGGAAGTTACCTGCACACCTGGAGGGGCCACGTGGGGAGGTCAAGGTAGGACCTGGGCATAAGCCTTTCTTTATTGGGGTCTGTGAGTGGAATGCTTTGAGGTTGCCAGACTAAGGCCGGATTGTTCACCTCAAACCAAAATGGGGTTTTGGTGAGCTCCATGGGGGTCTTACCTAAGGGGCACCAACGGGGAAGGCCCTGGGAGGCAGGGGGAGACTTGCTCACAAGGGCCATCGAGGGGGTCCTTTCAGGAGCTTACATTTGCACGTGACTCTGCGGGCTGCTCTCCACAGCATTTGCTTGCATAAAGGAGCCAATGTCATTTTAAGGCCCACGCAAGCTGCTTGGCCAAACCAAATGGATGCTGAGGCAGTAATACCGTGGAGTAACTTAGCTGAACTCTTAAGCCAGCACTTAGTTTCCCAGGTTAGTGGTACTGTTAGCTCCCCCAGGGTCAGTGGGCGTGCAAGGACCCAGCGTGGTTCTCTGACAGACGGGGACCCCCTGCCAGAGAACCATGTGTTTGGAAATGGGGTGGTGCTTTTGGTTGTCACAGTGTCTGGGACATTTATATTGGCATTAGTGACCAGAACCAGAGATACCTGATACCCTGTAATGTCCAGAATGGAGCCACATGACAAAGATTTATCTCCTCCACAGTGCCAGAGCACTTCCCTGTCAAGGAACACTACCAGGGCCCATTCAGATGAATCTTCCAGAAGAAAGCAACAGTCCACCCCCAGATAGTACTGAAGACCCCTGAGACCAAAAACTGCATGTTGCTTTTAGATGAGTTTTTCCTAGGTTCTGTTTACTGGCCTCCTGACAGGTCCCCTTGACTCCTGCAGCTAGAGTCTCTCTGTCTTTCCCCTGCCCTGTGACACGTATGTGTACTCAGTGACCTTGAGGGGAGAGCAGGCACAGACACATCACCTGAACATAGAGCAGCGCTTAGGAAAGATGCCGCATCTCAGTACCAGATCCTGCCCAGTGCCAAGTGTTCTGTGCATTTTCTGATTTCCACAGTGGTTTCTGACAGTGTTTTTTCACCTTCTTTAAAGTGCAGCTCCCTAGTGAAAAACCAGAAAGCTTACTTTGAATCTTCAAAGGATTGGTATCCAGAAGTTCCACAGGTCATTTGAACAAAAAATTAGATGGTTTTGTCGATCAGAACAGGCAACACAGAGGCTCTCTGATTATAAATCCATTTTAGACCTGCCTAGAGCAGAGAAAGCATTTGGAAAACGTATATTTATTTTTACAGCAAATTACTCTACTGTGAGGAATTCATTATAGAGTAGTAAGATTAAATGGTTGCATTTCATTTATAAGTATCGTTTCACAATGTGCTTCTTGCAGCTGAAGGAACTGTTGCCTAACATTAAATATTTTCTGCCTCATGTTCCTTTTACACCATTTAAATGCCTGTCAGATTGTTTGCCTTTATACCCAGCCTGACGCTTTTTCAAATTGTTAAGTGGAGAAGGCTGCGTCTAGAACCCATGGTTTATTTCCACGCCCCCTAGAAAGTTACCGTCAGGATCGTGCACAGAGACTGCGTTGCGTGCACAGGGAACCGAGGGGCCGAGAGCATTTCTCCAGATCACTCGGGTGGTCTCAAGGGGAGCGTGCACTGCGGTGCCCACACAAGCTCCCTTCTCTGAGGGAGGTGGTGCCGTGCTTTTTCCTAAAGAGAGGCTGCCCTTTCAGGAATGAGTTACTTTGGGCCACCTCTAGAGACATGCAGAACAGAATAAGGCTGCAGAGTTTATAGCCACGTCCATCCAGGAAAGAAGGGGGAAAAATTTACTTGGAAGTCCATTCAGTAATAACCTCACCACAAACTGAGGAGTAATTCCTGGCTTGGTGCTCTCACCTGCACAGAGACAGAGGAGTTTCCTCCTTTCTTTTTCCAATTCCTTCTTCCCTTCCTCCCCGCAGGGATCCCATCTTGCCCCTCTCTTTCCTCTGCCTGCATTGTTTGTTTGACCTGTTGTGGATGCCAGTGAGACCTACCTCACCAGGAGTCCAGCTGTGGCTGTGTGTTTTTGGTGCTTTCTTTCTGAGCAAGCACTGAACCTGACGTTTGGGTTTCCATTTCAAAGCAGGCTTTCATTTCTGGTCTGTCCGTCAATTACATGGTGCCTGTCACTCACATAGCACCAGCCGTGATTTGGAATTGAATAATGATACTGAATTTACACTTGGAGTCTTAAGAATTATGATTTTCCTAATTTAACAAAGAATTTATAGGTTTATTTGCCAAAATGGGAGGCGAATTTGGAGTTGTGGTTTGGCTAGATATGAATTTGGCTCAAAAAGCAAACTGTCCCTATGCAGGATCCTGTGGTAGGCATCTTAGGAGATAAAAATCAACCAATTCCTTGACCTTGAGAAACATACATTTTGATAAGGGAGCCAAGAAGAGTGTTTAGGTAACAGTAATACAAGGCAGGCTGAGGAATCTGAAGTTAAAAGACATTTCCATCCACCAAAATGTAAGAAACAAGGTGCATCTGAATGCAATAGCGGAATTACAGGACATCTGCCATGTTTTAAATTTTTTTTTTCATCTTTGCACCCTCCCTAATATATTCTTTCTGCCTTTGTTCCTAATTTTTGAGAAGTAGTAATATCCTTCCAGGAAGCTTCCCATATGATTTAGAAATGCATTAGAGCAATGGTCCTCAAAGTGGGACCTGGGAATTTGATAGAAATGCAGATTCTCAGGCCCCCACCCCAGTCAGAAACTCATGGAGGTAGAGACCAGGAATCTGTTTTCATAAGCCCTCCAGGAGACTGTGATGTATGCTATAGTTTGGGAGCCACTGCCTGAGAGACCGGTGGGTCATCCAGCCTGAAGGAGCGTCTGTTCTCCAGCTGTGCTCCGCATGTTCCGGGCAAGCCGAGTGCTTCTCGCTGATGGGGTTCCACTGGCAAATAAGCGCAAGAAACGCTGCCAAACGGATCTTTTTGGGTATTTGCCACATGTGTTTTCCTAGTAAAGGCTCTGAGAAGTCCTGTACTGAGGAAATTTAATTCAGTTTGTTTAACCAGAAGCTTCCACAATTACTTGAACGCAGAACACATTATCGCTGTGGTGGTACCTGATAGTCTTTTTGCGAGGATTCTTTTAAACATGTTTTAGGGAAAAGTTCTGGAGAGAGCTTTGCCCTACGTGCTATCAGTATCAAAAGTGCACTGTGGGGCTTCCCTGATGGCGCAGTGGTTGAGAGTCCGCCTGCCGATGCAGGGGACACGGTTTCATGCCCCGGGCCGGGAGCATCCCACATGCTGCGGAGCGGCTAGGCCCGTGAGCCATGGCCGCTGAGCCTGCGCGTCCGGAGCCTGTGCTCCACAACGGGAGAGGCCGCAGCAGTGAGAGGCCCGCGTACCGCAAAAAAAAAAAAAAAAAAAAAAAAAAAGTGCCCTATGCAGAGACAGCCCGCCGCCCCAGCCCAGGGTGGGAATCCTGCTTTAACCCTACCTAGAGAACCAAACGGGAAGCTGGTGCAGCTAGCTCATTCGCCTCCCTTCCTCTCACTACATCTCCGTGCTTCGTTCCACCCTCATTCCCACTTCATTCTCTGCTCCTCAGAGGGAAGACGGGGTGATGTGCTAAATTCTGCCTGAGCCGTAGAAACTGCTTCATGTCCATGCAGTGTGGTGTTTGTCTCCATTTTCTTTCTCCATTTGTGAAGCTCACAAATGGCGTTTTGATATTTTTTGGTCCATGCATTTTTGTAAGAAGCATGCATTATATTATTCTGTCTTTACTAGCCTGCCCCAAAAGATCAGATTTTTCCATTCTTTTATAGAGAGATTTTCTTTAAGCGTTAAAAATTATGATTTAATTGTAGAATGAAAATTTCTATCAGTGTAGCGTTGTCTAAGCCATCTGATTTCCCATCTGACTTGAATTCTGTGGTTGATAAAGACGATATTGACACTGGTAGCAGACCCTTCACGTACATGATCTCATTTACTCCTCCAAATGGAGGGGGTGGGGAATCCTGTGAGGTAGGTATCATTAACCCCATTTTACAGACAGCCTTCGAAGTTTATAGATGAGAAACTTGTCCAGATGGCACAGTAGCAATTTGGAATATAGAGTGAGATTTCCAGGGTTTGAATATCTCTTCTGCCACTTAATAGCTGTGTGACCTCAGGCAAGTTAATTAGCCTCTCTGTGCCTCAGTTTCCTCTCCTGAAAGATGAGGGTAATGTAGCGCCTACCTCACAGGGTTGTTGTAAGCTTTTACATTGGTACACATGAAATGCTTAGAAGGATACTGGCATATACCAAGTGCTCAGTAAATGTCAGCTGGGGAAAGAAAAGCTAGAATAGCCAGGAGGATCCCCGGCATAACTAAACTTGAAGGGTCTTAACAACAGCAGATACCCAGTACACATTGCAGATCGAGTGATAGGATGGACGGTGCTGCAGTATGTCCTGTGCACCACAGCCTGCTGGTGGTAAGCCATAATCAGTCTCATGAAACACAACGATTTAAATGGATGTTGTCACTCCCTGCCTCAAGATGCTTGCTGGCCTTAAGGCTCTCTTAGACCTTTCTCTGCTGTTCCAGCTTCTCATTCTGACCCCAACCCCATCATCATTTCCAATGTTATGTCTAAATTTTTAATTTGTTTCAGGGCACTTGAATATCATAAGCGATTTAAAGGGTGGTGTCACTCTAAGCGCATAAAATATTTTTAGCTTCATAAAAATTGTCTCAGAATGCCTTTCATGAAACTCAGTTTGCCTTTTGGATTCTCTTCCTGATCACCCATTCCAGTAACAAATAGAATGTGGGCATTCCATTGGTGGCAGACTTACTTTCCTTTGAAAAGGCCCCTTTCAGATCACTCTTCCTACGAGTGAAGAATTTTGACCAATAGCTATTAGGTTTTGGTATCAAAAATAATGGAAATTTATATCTTACTGCCGTATCATTCAGGGAAGGTAGTAGAAGACAAACAGATGTTAGGATCTCACAGCAGTTGTTTATCTTGAGGATTATAACTGGTGCAGATCAGAGCATCCCTGGCACAACACTAAGATTCCACCCAGTAATCTCTGTGGCACAGCATCAGCACAGGGCCACTCCTCAGATGTGCAAGTATTTCCACCGTCATGTACAGTGGTTAGGATGATGCTTGCAGTTGCTGCCTTCAGACTTTTCCAGAGTAGGCTGTTCACCTCGAACTCATGACCACCAGTACAAGCTGTGGGGTGGCTCTGTGGGAGTGGGGCTGCCCTAGTCTCCTGGTGCACCAAGATTAGCCATTTGGTGTTTGGATGGTGGACGCATCCAGTTTCTCCACGATGAGGTAGTACAGACAACACATGTAGAGTCACTAATGAGACAGTGACACGCTGCTGAGAGCAAGAGCTTTCCCACCAGGTGAGTACCAAGGATGTGAGGGAGCAGCTCTCCCTGTACCCCACCCCCATCCCCACAGCAGTTACATGGTTTGGCCATTGACTCACCATCGTTTGAGTAAGATCTGTGTATATGTACCAAGCCCTACCAAAGCCAAGAGGTTGCACCCTGACATAGGCAGATTATAATCATCTAACATCATAATCGTATAAGAGCAAACACAAATAGAGTGCTTATAACGCACCAGGAACTGTTCTGAGAGCATTGTATATACAGTTGACCCTTGAACAGCACAGGTCCACTTATATGTGGGTTTTTTTCAGTAGTAAATACTGCAGTACTATATGTTCCAAGACTGGTTGAATCTGTGATTGGTTGAATCCAAGGATGTGGAACTGTAGATACAGAGGAACCGAACTGCATACACAGAGGGCCAACTGACTGTAAGTTATATGCAGATTTTTGACCCTGCGGTGGTTTTGGCACCCCTAACGCACACATTGTTCAGGAGTCAACTGTATTCATTTTATCCTCAAAACAGCCCTATGAAGTCGATACTGTTTTTACCCTCATTTTACAGTTGAGGAAACTGAAGCACAGAGACATTAAGTCGCTTGTTCCAAGTCACACAACTGGTAGGTAGCAGAGCCAGAATTCAGTTTTAGACAGTCTGGCCTCAGAGTTTCTATTTTTATCAACTGTTCTATCTTGAATAAATATTACACCCATTTCTAGTTAGGTATAGGCTCTATTAACGTTACACAAATTTAAGGCAAGGAGTATTACTACAGATAAGGAGAACAATTCAGAAATCAGTAACAAAAAGATAACTAGGAAATCTTCAAATATATTAAAATTAAGAACACAGTTCTAAATAATGTTCAAAGAAGAAATCACAGTGGAAATTAGAAAGTGTTTTGAATGAAATAATAATTAAATTGCAACATCAAAATTTGTGGGATACTGCTAAAGCAGAGGTTAGAGGAGGCTCATAGTTTTATATAAATAGGAATGAAAAAAAGTTTGAAAATCCACACTTTAAGTTTTCATCTTAAGCTAGAAAAAAAAATTGGCAAACTAAAGCCAAAGAAAAAAGAAGGAATAAAGGTACAGGCTGATATCAGTGAAATAGAACACAGGCATACAGTAAAGGAAATCAACAGAATCAAAAGTTGGTTCTTTGAAAACATTAATTGCAGTGAAGTGTAAGAAGCACCTCAATACATGTCCTTCCTACTACTGCCCCTGGCAGCTACTAAATTCTGATCTAGGAAATCAATTATAGAGTGGGATTTTTTTAAGCCAGTCCTCCGCCCACAGAAATGCTTTATACCACTGTCAATATTAGTTTGTTGATTCCCTTTTCAACTGAGTCTCTGCAAATTCTTTTCTAACTGTTCTCCTGTCTCTGTTTGTTCCATGCTAAGCAGATGGCCCAGAAATTAGCCAAAAGCAGGAAGAAGGTGCAGTACAAACAACTTCATCAGCTTGGTGTTATGCCTGGTTTTTTTTTCCCCATTTATTTACGTTTTGCCTTTTTCCTTATTTCGTGTTTTTGTTTTCTGCATCCAGCAAGTTTTTGTTCAGATTTCTTTTTGAACCGCCCCATAAGCCAACGTTTCTCAAAACTCAGTTGCCCAACGTGGCTGTTTTCTGTTGCTCATTAGTCATCTCACTCCAGAGGAATGACAGGGAGCAGATTGGGGATGCTGAAGGGATCCTGCAGTAGTGCGCAAGTGCCCTCCGTTCAGGAGCATTCACGTGGCAGGGACCTGGGTCTGCTCAATTCTAGTCATGTTTGATTTGTGGATTTGTCAGATTGCTGGATGCAAAAAAGAAAACTCGCTAATAACCACACGTGTGCAGAGTCAAGCCCTGAGTGAATCAGACTAATGTGCTTTTTTGGTTGTGAAGCTTCTAGGTGCTTATGAGCTACCCATGGGACACTGAGGCATTGGGGCTCGCTCTTACTGGGGTAGCTTCAGGAGTGGGTACTTCTTCTGTGGTGTGTGGCGTGTGGGAACACGAAGACCCTCTTACCACAGCTGCCTTGTTTGCACCCGCTGTAAGCATTGTCCCCCGGGAGCAAACTCTGACTTCTCCAAGGCCCTGGGGGTATGAGTCAGTTGCCCTTGTTCCTTCAATCTGTTGCGCTCTGAACCCCTTGCAGACAGTGCCATTCACAATCATTGTTCATGGAGTCAGATCTACTGCAGTTACTGCTTCCATGGCGGAAGAAGCAAGGAGGGGTCCGCATTTCTCCCTGTAACCTGGAGATGCTCACTCCCGTCCCCGTGTCATCCTCTGTGTGGTCCCTTCAGCTTTGGCAGTCTAGTTCTGAAGTCTGCATCGCTGTTCTGGTGACTGTGTCTCAATGCCTCTGTGTATGAGCTAACCTTGCTTGCACGCACCTGGGTCAGAGTAACGTATTGAGCTTTCTCTTGGTGCATTTTCCTTCTCAGGCCCCTGAAGGTGAATCTCAGCCAATGACTGAAGTGGATCTCTTCATTTCTACCCAGAGAATCAAAGTATTGAACGCTGACACGCAGGTATTAGCTGGCTCCCACCTTCCTCGGGGGTGAAGCTTAGCATGACAACTAGGAGACTGTGCCCTTGTCTGTAGAGCAGCTGTCCCCAGATGCTGGCTTCCACACAAGCTAGAAGGTTGTGTATGCAGTGCCTGCTGCCGGGCTGGGGGATGGGAAGGGACTTGGTAGGGAGGATTGGGGCTATTAAAGGTCAAAGGAAAAAATACGCCTTGGATATTGTTTGCTAATAATTCTCATAAGTTTTTATCAGAAGATTCTTGAACAAACTAGCCTTTTAAGAAATTTTGTTTAAAATCACACACACACACACACACACACACACACACACACACACACACACACACACACACACACATCCAGTCATCACATGCAGATTTTTTATTTTTTAACTTCCCCACCAGAGATTCTACTGGTTGTAAAATGATTGAAATTCCTTTTCACATACTACAGACCACTTCCTGCTCTGGGTTATCACAAGCCAAGGGAATTGCTCCCAGGCCTGGGTGGGCGCGTGTAAGTCTGCCAACAGAGTGTTTGCCGTGAGCTCCCACATGTGGACTGCACTTGGCTAGGCTGTGGGGTGGCAGGCTGTCTCATGGGCCATTCGATGCCGCACTGGACATACCATCCTCTCCCTGCTGCCTTCCAGGAGACAATGATGGACCACCCTCTGAGGACCATTTCCTACATTGCAGACATCGGGAACATCGTTGTGCTGATGGCCCGCAGGCGGATGCCCCGCTCCAACTCCCAGGAGAACGTGGAAGCCTCCCACCCATCCCAGGATGGAAAAAGGCAGTACAAGATGATCTGCCACGTGTTTGAATCTGAGGACGTAAGGGCAGCCTCCCTTCCATGTGATCTGGGCTGCCCTTGGGTGGCCAGGTTTCCTCTAGTTCTCAGAACCTTAATCGTATGTGAGACAAATACTTACTGAGCCCTTATTATGTGTCAAGCACTGTTCTAGTGCTAGGGATATAAGGCTGAGTAAAATAGACAAGATACTCATTGTAAAGGTTGTAGAGAGACAGAAAATAAATAGATAAATATACTTAATATAAAGTTAGGTAGTGGAAGGTTTGATAAGGAAAAACTAGGTCAAGGGATAGAGGGGCCAGGGGCTATTTCAGGTAGAGTGATGAACAAAGTCCTTTCTGAGGTGACATTTGAGCAGAGACCTGAGTAGAGTTGACAGTGAGGAAGGAGCAGGTGCAAAGGCCCTGAGACAGGGGCCTGCTGATAGAGGTTGAGGAAAGGCAAGGAGGCAAGCCACTAGAGAGGACAGAAGGGTGGGAAGAATTCAGCCAGACCCACAGGGGCCCGAACAGGTCTTACCTGGCCACTAGGGCATTTGGGGAGGACAGTTCTTGGATGTGCAGGACTGCCCTTTCCTAACAGGAAGGTTAGCGTCCCTGATCCTTCCCACCAAATGGCAAGAACACCAGCCACCCACTCCTTAGCAAAACCAGCTGCTCCTCCAGTCACAAAGCGTGATCCCTAACGCCCATCTCTCCAGGTGATAAAGTCAGCAGAGGAAATCAGCGTACAACAGAGGTGGGGCCCATTCTTCCATTCAGCCTTCTTACCCAGTTGTCCCTAGAACTGCCGGCGAGAACACCAGGCTTCAAGCTGTGTTAGCATCGTGCTTCCCCCAGAGCTCGACAGGCCTTGGAAACTCCCTCTGGGCCTTGTTTTTTTTTTTTTTCTGGCCAAGCCATGAGGTTTGCGGGATCTTAGTTCCCCGACCAGGGATTGAATCCGGGCCCTCGGCAGTGAAAGCACAGAGTCCTAACCACTGAACCACCAGGGAATTCCCCCCACGATGGTTTTGAACTACAGAGCCTCCCCGAGAGGGCCGTGTCGGTGCCGTTGACTGGTCTAACTTTTCCTCCTGCCACAGTGGAATAAGCTGTATTTCTCATATTGAGCAGGGAACCCTTATATACTTAAAGAAAATTGCCTACAGTTAGCCTTGGCTCCTTAAAAGGGGCCATTTTTCTCCAGAAGAGTGTTCATCTAGCTGCTTTAAATGGCCTTCCTCTGAGAAGTTAGGAGTCTGAGGCGAGCTGCTTTTCTCCAGGGAAACAGAGCTGACATGGCTGTAGCCACAGACAGGAGGAGACGCTTACACTTTTGTACCATCTTTTACTTGTCTGGTTCTCTAGAAAGCAGTCCCAGGGACACGGTCACTGAGAAGGCAGAGAGCTTGAAACACCTGTCCTGGCCATTCTCCCCGCTTTTCCTTTAAAACTGAGGCTAAGCCTGCAAACGGGGAGAAAATGAGTTTAGAAGGTTCTCGGCAAGTTCCAAAGGAGTTACATTTAGAATCTTAAGTTTCATGTGTTCTGTAGGCCCGTGAAAAGGTGGAGTTAGCTCTGCTCACCAGACATGAGAGTCCCGGTACGACCCTCTGCCACCTCCCTCTGGCTTGGTGCTCCTAAGGAGGGCCTTCTTTCCCTTGGGGCTCCTTTGGGTCTGTAGGGGGAGATGATGAAGGGGAAGAATGAGGAAGCAAGAGTGGACCTGGGAATCTTACTGCTTTGCTTCCAAAGCCCAGGACAGAACGGGGAGAGCATGGGCTGCAGAACTGGGAGGACTGTTTGTGGATCCCGTCTCCCGTTCTATAGAAGCTCAGGCTGTGCAGCTGCTGAGCTTCTGTAGAACGGGCTGCCATGTGGCTCAGGTGGACACGGCAGAGATATAAGTAGCCTGTGTGTGCTTGCCCGGTGCATCCACACGTGACGGTCGGGAGGACCGCTGGCCGTGTTCTCAGACACGCTTTTTTTAGTTCATCTGTTCACACAAGCCTCTGCCACGGTGGTACCTCGGCAGGAGGCAGCATGGTGGTCCTTGATGTGACTTGTGGCATGTGACCTCACCAGATCCTCAGAGTGAGAAAAGTTGAGCATTTCTTTCCCCACTGCCAGCCACACAGAAATTTCTGATATCACAGTTAATTAGCTGCTTTCAGCAAAAGTTACCAAACATAGGGAAAGGAGGAGTGCAGATTAGAGTTGTGTGTGTTTGAAACATTGCCCTAGAGCTTTCAGTTGTTTTGCGGGCTTTCTACCTACTATTATTAGAGCAGCAGTCCCAGTGGTGGGCAGGAAGTGGGCTCCGGAATCAGGCTGCCAGGATTCTCAGCTCCCATCCCCACCCCAGCTTAAGCTCTCAACCTCTTTTTTCCTGATCTGCCCAATGGGAGCAAATAAAACAGATTCGAAGTCTAAGAGCTCTGAGAAACAAGGAATTTTTGTACTCAATTGGTTGATAAACCTGCTTTGAGCTGCCATGAGACACATTATAGGATTTGTCCAGCTTACCGTGAATCGTACACATTTGTTGCAGGAACATTACTGTGTTTAGGCACTTCTCCAGGCTCTAATGGGGTTTTTACACAATGTATGATAAATGCACCCTGTTACCTTTCTAAAATGTGAACATTTCTGAACTCTGAAACACTGCCTTCAGAGCTTAGGATGAGGGCTTATGGACCAGTCATACTTACATCTTAGAGTTGCTGTGAGGATTTATGTGACGGTGCTTCTGCAGCATTTAACACAGCACAGGCTCAGTTGCTGGTGTCTCTCTCAGGTTGTAATGTTGGTTAACTAATGCAGGGAAAGGTTATCAAAGCCCAGTGCAGGAGAAAGAACAACAGAAGCAGAGTTCCTGTCCTGTGAGCGGTGTGACCTTCCTTGAACAGGTTCCTTCACGTCTCTGGCCGCAATCTCCTCACCTGGAAAATGCATAATATTTTGTAATGTCCCATCCTTAGATAATATGAATGAAATGAAATTCCTAGATAATGTAACCTCCCTTTTTGAAAAATTTTTCACAAAATAACCAAAGTATTGCCAGAAATATAACACAAAGGAGAAATAAAAGGAAAGCAAGCTAAATAAAATAAAATAGGTTGATAGACACACACTCACACACACATGCAGAACCACCATACTCTACGGCCAGTGTGCAGGCTGATGGGAATGTGATTTATTGGCAACCCACATCCCATGAATAGCATTGATGCTGATGATTTTCCAAAGTCATGAAGCTCACTCGTGGTAAAGTGTTGGACAAAACAAAATACCGTCTTCTCTCAATTTACAGAATAGTTGTATTCTTGGACTGTTCAGTGTGTACTAGAGCGTGCAACTAAAGTCTTGTGTTTTTATATAAATTAGAGTTGAGTCCCAGCCTTTAGACACAGTTGTTACATGTACATGAATGTCCAGTGGGATATTTGAAAATTGTGCAGGATGTAAAACAGCTCGTCCTGTGTAGGACTGTCCTTTGCACGGCAGTAGGTCCAGCATCTCTGACTCCTGTCCATCAAATGCCAGGAGCTCCATCAGGACCATTGTCATAGACAAAATTGTCCCCACTAATTTTGAAAATGACCTCTAGCAGGCACTGCTGCACCATGGCGACCCACTGGGCTAGCTGCTGCCTAGGGCTCTGTAGTCCTGAGGGACCCAGGTCGCCCAGCAGCAGTGCTGCCCTGTTGACCCCGTCTCCCCTTTCCGGCTTCTCTGCAGGCTCAGCTGATTGCACAGTCCATCGGGCAGGCATTCAGCGTGGCATACCAGGAGTTCCTCAGGGCCAACGGGATTAACCCCGAAGATCTCAGCCAGAAGGAATACAGTGACCTGCTCAACACCCAGGACATGTACAACGACGACCTGATCCACTTCTCCAAGTCGGAAAACTGCAAAGATGTAGGTACTTTCCAGAAGCTGTTCTCTGAGCTGGGCCAGCCGGGGCCCACCCGCGATAGAAGTGAAGGCAGAGTGGCTGGGCTGAAGAGTGAGCTCAGGCCCATCTCTGTCTCACCTCACATGAGGCCTGATAAAGACTGCAGCCGAGGGCCGTGGCCAGTGAGACAGGGCGTCGTCTGCTCCCTGCGATCCAGAGCTGACTTTGGGGTGGGTTCCAGAGGCAGACAGGACCTGAACCCTGCCCTTTACCAAGCCCACAGTCTAGGAAAGGGCACAGAAGATTGTAAATGATGGTGCTGGTACAGGCACTCGTCAGAGACAGCTGTACTTAGCAGATTGGAGCCGATCTCGGCTCTCAGGTCTCAGATGATAAGTGCTGTGCTCCCCCAGGGACCGAGCTCTAGGGGAGTGTCTGGAGGGAAACGGGGCCGCCTGATCTGGTCTGAGGTCTCAGTATTCTTTGGAAAGTGTAGAGGAGTGCAGAAGCATGAAAGTCCGGAAGCTCAGGAATTGTCTGGGGAGCCATGAATGAGGCAGCCAGGCTGCAGCAGGGGTTGTGCATAGGAGAGGATGTGAAGAGGCCAGTACAGGCTTTGGGTCAGAACTGGAGGGCTTGAGAGTCCAGCTGTGGTGAGGGGCCTGGACTTTATCCACTAGGTGTGAGAAAGTGATCTTTCTATCCACTAATGAATGTGAAGTGTCCTAGGCTCCCTGGAAGCAGAGCCTGAGATGGGAATTCTTGTACATGGGATTTGGGGGAAGGGTGCACTCAGGAAAAAGTGAGTGTGGGCAGCAGGGTGGTGGGGCTGCCAGGGAGGAATGTGGCCTTGCTGGAGATGAGCATCATTCTGATCCAAAGGGAAGCTCCAGCTCACACATCGCAGGACGGACCTTGTCCCACCTAGAGCCAAAAGAGCTGGCAGGCCTTTGTAGCCTACTAATCAATCATTGACACCAAGGTCAGACGGAGGTGTGTTAGTGTGCTTGGGCTGCCGTAACAAAGTTCCCCAGACGGGGGGCTTCAATAGCAGAAATGTATTGTGTCACAGTTCTAGAGGCTGGAAGCCTGGGATCAAGGTGTCCGCAGGGTTGGTTCCTTCTGAGGGGGAAGATCCATTCCAGGCCTCTCATTTGCTTGTAGATGGTCATCTTCTCCCTGTGTCTTCACTCTGTGCATGTCTCTGTGTCCAAATTTCCCCCTTTTGTAAAGATACCAATCATATTGAACTGGGACCCACCCTAATTATTTTATTTTAACTTGACTGCCTGTGAAAAGATCCTATCTCCAAACAAGGTAATATATGCCATGGAATATAGAGAGGACAGAACGCATTTGGGTTGGAGTCATCAGGGAAATGTCTGTCATGTTTAGTCAAGACAGGAATAGGGAAAATGCTTTGATTTCTGTCGCTACCCTGGATGGTTGCTGATTCAGGCTTTCTACGTGTTTTCCTCCTTTCAGGTCTTCATAGAGAAGCAGAAAGGGGAAATCCTAGGTGTGGTGATTGTGGAGTCTGGCTGGGGATCCATCTTGCCAACCGTGATCATAGCCAACATGATGCACGGAGGCCCAGCGGAGAAATCGGGGAAGCTGAATATTGGGGACCAGATCATGTCCATAAATGGCACCAGCTTAGTGGGCCTGCCTCTGTCGACCTGCCAGAGCATTATTAAGGTAACTGGAGATGGGAAAAATCAACCTCTCTTGTAGACCTGAAGTGATATGAAGTCATCAACATTTGAGTGTATTCTAAGTGTCAGGCACTGAGAAGGACACAAATACAAAAAGCATGGACTTGTACTTGGGTTGTTTACCATCAAGTTGCTATTTACCAGTTCCTCCCTGAAATTGTTTTCTCAGGGATGGTATAGCTGGCTCACATAGCACCGCTCACTAACACCATGCCCTCGCAGACATCACTAATCAATCACAGCATTCTGTCCCATTAAGCCCCCACTCAGCCTCAACAGAATTTTCCTCAGCTCAGTAATCAAGACAATCACTTATACTCAGCTGGGTGTTCTTGAGATGACTTGCCATCCCTGTTACAAATCATGGAAATGCTTCAGATCCCAGGGCACTGCACTTTACTGTGATCCAGGTGAGTGTATCCTCCCCAGAGCCTGCGTAACATGATCCACACATGCCACGTAGAAGGAAGGAAACTGGTACAGTCTGTATACTTCTTCTAAAACCTGAACATAATTACCTCTTGTTCAGCCTGAATTGATACTGTTGTGTGAGGCTGAGAAGAACTCCTTAAAAGAAAATTGAATATGAGTATTTGAGGGCAAGAAATTAGATTTTCTTAGAAATGAAGTATCCATGTGTAGTCTCTTGAGTGCATTGGAACTTGCTGATTGCATGGGAACTAGGAACAAGTATATTTTTCCTTCACTACAGTATCTGTAGACCCTGCCAGCTCTGTACCAAGCAGTGTGGTACAAGCAGACCAGGATCCTATGATGTTCTTTGGTTCCTTGGGGTTTCCTGAAAGACTGTTAACTAGAATATAGCTCTGTATGTGTGTGTGTGTGTGTGTGAGAAAGAGAGAGAGAGAATAAATGTGAATTTATAGAATAGTTATTCTAAGCAGAAGAAAATCACAAAAGACAACATCCTTGGCCAAGGGCCCTGGGATGGAGGGGAGGTCAAGGTGAGTGTATAGGCCAGACATGTCTACCTCTTTGCGTTTTTTTGTTTGTTTTTTATGTTATATAGGAATTCATCTTTTTTTCTTTCTTTTCCTGCTTTTTTTAATCAGTATTTTTATTGAAATATGGTTGATTTATAATATTGTGTTAATTTCTGCTATACAGCAAAGTGATTCAGTTATACATATATATATTCTTTTTTAATATGTTCTTTTCCATTATAGTTTATCATAGGATATTGAATATAGTTCTCTGTACTGTACAGTAGGATCTTGTTGTTCATTCATCCCATATATAAAAGCTTACCTCTGCTAACCCCAACCTCCCACTCCGTCCCTCCCCCAACCCCCTCCCCCTTGGCAACCACCAGTCTGTTCTCTATGTCTGTGATTCTGTTAATGTTTCATAGATAGATTCATTTGTGTCACATTTTAGATTCCACATATAAGTGATATCATATTGTATTTGTCTTTCGATTTCTGACTTACTTCACTTAGTACGATAATCTCTAGTTGCATCCATGTTGCTGCAAATGGCATTATTTTGTTCTTTTTTATGGCTGGGTAGTATTCCATTGTGTATATGTACCACATCTTCTTTATCCATTCATCTGTCGATGGACACTTAGGTTGTTTCTATGTCTTGGCTATAGTGAATAGTGCTGCTATGAACATAGGGGTGCATGTATCTTTTTGAATTAATAGTTTTGTTGGGATATATGCCCAGGCATAGGATTGCGGGATCATACGGTAATTCTAAATATTTTTAGTTTTCTGAGGAACCTCCATACTGTTTTCCACAGTGGCTATCTGACCAACAGTGTAGGAGGGTTCCCTTTTCTCCACACCCTCTCCAGCATTTGTTGTTTGTAGAATTTTTAATGATGGCCAACCTGACTGGTATGAGGTGGTACCTCATTGTAGTTTTGATTGCATTTCTCTAATAATTAGCGATGTTGAATATCTCTTCATGTGCCTATTGGCCATCTGTATTTCTTCCTTAGAGAAATGTCTGTTTAGGTCCTCTGCCTATTTTTCGATTGGGTTTTTTTGTTTTTGAGCTGTGTGAGCTATTTGTATATTTTGGAAATTAAGCCCTTGTCAGTCATATTGTTTGCAAATATTTTCTCCCGTTCTGTAGGTTGTCTTTTCATTTTGTTTTGCCTGTTTATTTTTTTTTAAGTTTATTTTATTTATATATATTTTGGCTGGGTTGGGTCTTCGCTGCTGCGTGGGGGCTTTGTCTAGTTGCGGTCAGCGGGGGCCACTCCTCGTTGAGGTGTGAGGGCCTCTCATTGCAGTGGCCTCTGTCACTGCAGAGCACGCGGGCTTCAATACTTGTGGCTTGTGGGCTCTAGAGTTCAGGCTCAGTAGCTGTGGTGCTCAGACCGAGTTGCTCCGTGGCATGTGGGATCCTCCCAGACCAGGGCTCGAACCCCTGTCCCCCGCATTGGCAGGCGGACTCCCAACCACTGCGCCACCAGGGAAGCCCTGCCTGTTTATTTTTAATGAAACAAATCTAAATACTCATAAGATAATCACACCCAGAAAGAAATAGTCCTTTTGGGGCTCATTTCTTTTTGTTATAAATAAATTCTACCTCTTGCTTAACATACATTAAAGATAAGATTAAAGGTCCTAGTTTGAACATGTATATTCATTCAAACATGTTTAATTGGGCTTCTGTTAGCCTGAGCTGAACTGTGAAGAAGCCAGAATGAAAAAAATAAATAAAAATTTAAAAAGCCAGAATGACAGTATGCACATGGAGGATAATTTATAATTGAAAGGGTTCATTGGGCCCTAATGGCAACATAGAGGTGAAATGCTAAGAGCATTTGGAGTGGGGGAGCGGAAAATCTTACTTTTTTTTTTTTTTTTTTTTTTTTTTTGAGGTACGCGGCCCTCTCACTGTTGTGGCCTCTCCCGTTGCGGAACACAGGCTCCGGACGCACAGGCTCAGCAGCCATGGCTCACAGGCCCAGCCGCTCTGCGGCATGTGGGATCTTCCCAGACTGGGGCACAAACCCGTGTCCCCTGCATCAGCAGGCGGACCCTCAACCACTGTGCCACCAGGGAAGCCCTACCTGATTTTTAAGGTGGGCCTTGAAGGAGGAGTTAGACTCAGGTGGATAGCAGAAAGGAAAGTGGCCTTTGGGAGTTTCTTCTGGAATTGATGGATGGTGGACTGGCTTTGTGTTGGGAGAGGCAGGTCTGAGCCAGCCTGAGAAGGCTGATCTGATGGTGTGATAACGTGCGGAAGCCAGGGAGGGCCAGGAGTAGGGAGAAAGGACCCACCCACGTTTGGCTTCTCACTCACACATGCCAAGGTTCACAGATGCCCTCTCACACCAGGGAGCAAGTTACTTATTAAACACCGATGCATGTGTGAGAACTGTCGAGGGGCCATGGAAGCCAGAGATGCCTCAGACACAATCCGCACCCTAAGGAGCTTGGCCTCGATGGGGAGAAGGGAATGAAAGGACTGATAATAACAGTGACTGAGTGCTGTGCGCCTGGACCATTCTGAGAATGTGTGTGTTCACTCGCAGAACCCTACAGCAGCCTTCTGTAGGGTAGGTACTATTGTGCAAGTTAGGAAACAGGCACAGAAAGATGATATAATCATTCAAGGTCACACAGTGTGTCAGTAGCGCAGCCAGGTCACTCGGCCACCCTGTTATCTTTCCAGCGGTGTCTGTGGTCAGACCCTGGGGCAGTGGTTCTCAACCTGGGGGATCTTGACCCCTTGAGCCCCCGGGCGTCATTTGGCAGTGTCTGAAGACAGTGACCCTTGGCACTGGTCACCTCCCTTCCTCTTCATAAAAACAGCCTGTGAGGGAGGGTGATGGCAAATGCCTGGTTCACAGATGAGTCATCAGCTACTCAGAAGGTGCAGACAGCATGCCCAGGACACCCCAGCTGACGGAGTCCAGATCCCCATCCACCCCTCCCTGCCTCTTCACAAAGGAGGCAGACGAAGTGAGGGAGGCTGTGAGACCCATGGCCTGCCTTCCCCTGGTACCACACGGGGATTGGTCTTCTGTCCAGTGCATCACACATCAAGGTGGAAACAGACTAGCGCAGGGCGCAGTTGGCGCACTGTCTGAATAGTTTCCTAAGGGGAAAAGGTTTGTTTGCACGAGTAGCTGACCTCTGATGTCTATAAATGGAGTCTCTCTGGAATCGGAAAATTAAAAGGCCATGTGGTGATGAAAGAGATGTAACTGATGAAGATGGAGAGGGAGAAAGCCAGCACCTCTGTGGCCACCCTCGGCAGAGAAGTACTTAGCAGGCAGGCCCCAGCTGGGACACAGCTGCCCTTTCTCAGCACTGCAGGATGCGCTGCCTTGTCGAATAGAAAAGGGTGATTGGCCCTGTCCCCTTCTCCCCCCCGCCCCGAGAATCTTCCTACTGATCCCAGCTAGAATTGCCAGTACCGAAGAAGACGTTTAATGGGTTGTCTCCTGTTTTTAAGTTCTGTAAAAACATACCTTTTTTGCCTGCCCCTGAGCAGGTATTCACACTGCCCCACCCTCACCCCTAGGCCCCCGCAGGGGAGCATTCTGGGCTTCAAGGCTTCCCATCAGTATCGCTTGTTTCAGTGTTGTCAGTACTCCTTGCGATGAATTTAATGAGCAGCTCTCATCCTGGAAAATCAGTGCTTAGCAAACTTTGATTGAATCACCCAGGGATCTTGTTAAACTGCAGGTTCTGACTCGGCAGGTCTGGGATGGGCTTCTGCATTTTCAGCAAACTCCCCGGTGATGACATCGCCAGTAATGGGCTTCGAGTGTTCTGCAACTTGCCACTTTAATGCATGTTGACCTTTTCTCTCTCCTGGTTATAGGGAATAGAGTATGTTTCTAGAATAGATTACAGGTATTGAATTATTTTCTTTCTTCCCTAGCTCTTATATTTCCTGTCATAGTTCCTAAAGCATAATTATTGGTAGGCAAAGCATGTTAGCAGACTGCCTGTTTGTGCCATCACCTCTACGGTCCTGCCCTCCAGATTTGTT